GGTCGTGAACATTTAAAAATATTTTCTCGTCGTAAACATTTGAAAATATTTCTTCTTCGAAAATATTTTACAATATTTTTTCTTCGCAAATATTTGAAAATATTTCTTGCTCATAAGCGATTTAAAAGATTTTCTCTCCATAAACGTTTGAAAAGAGTCCCTCTTCACAAACATTTGAAAACTTTTTCATTTCATATACATTTGAAAATGATATTTCTTCTTCGTAAACATTGAAAATATTTCTTCTTTGCGAATATTTGAAAATATTTTTTGCTCATAAACAATTTAAAAGATTTCCTCTTCGTATGCGCTTAAAAAAGAGTCCCCTTTACAAACATTTGAAAATATTATTTCTTCTTTGTAAACATTTGAAAATATTTCTTGTTCATAAGCGATTTCCTCTTCGTAAAGGTAGAAAAATAGTCTCCCTTTATAATGATTTGGAAAATATTTTCAATTCATATATACTTAAAAATCTTTCTTCTTTGTGAATATTTGAAAATATTTTCTCGTCGTAACCATTTGAAAATATTTCGTCTTCGTAAACATTTCAAAATATTTCTATTACGTAAACATTTGAGATATATCCAGTTCGTAGCATCAAACATAATGCCCTTCGTATACATCAAAGCTCAAAGTTAACTTTACCAATTATACGCAGAGTTGTGTAAGAATGGTAAGTGCCAATGTTACATTTTAACAATAAGAAACAATATACTTAAAAAAAAGATGAATTAATGACGTATTTCAAAGACTTAGAAATAAAGGAGTGGCATCTTGTCACAGAAAGTCTAAGCCACCTAATCTCTCTCACTGCAGATGCTTAAAAGCGCAAATCTTTTTTTTTTCTTTAAACAATATAAAATTAACCTAACCTATCCTCATCTTAAAAGTTTTTATCGCAAAAATTCGTCATAGATTCTTAAGCGATTCTAATATATGATTAGTATCAACACAGAAAAAAAAAAGTTAATCAATTTGGGATGATCAGAGTTTAGGTCTCATCTTACATCGATGGTTGTCTTCTTAAAGAGGCACCCTGCGAGCAAGACCACCTACTTTGGATTCTTGTAATCATTGTGTAGAAAAATAGGTAATTGATTTTTTTTTATTCCACCTCAAAAGTTTGATTCTGAAACGCTATGAAAGATATTAGTTATGCATGGGATTTTATAGGGGTTCATAATTCATGTTTTTCTTTTCTTTGGTTAGTTATGTTTTTCACTTCAAAAGATCCGCCTAGACAATATGTATTCCTCCTCATCATATTGTGATTGATAGTGAATATAAATATAAAAGAGATATATTATTAATATGATTCTTGATGATTAAAGGCATCGGATTTTGAGGACTGACTCTTTTAGCTGCATTTGAATGGCTCCAAAATTTATTTAATAAGTGTTAATAATACGATATTAAAATGTTGCACAACTTGGTACATTTTAACCTTTTGCTTTAACTTGTTATTAAATGATAAAAAAGCTATCCAAATTGGTAAATCTTAAAATTGATTTGTTTTCATGAAATTTATTTAATAAGTGCTAATACTTCGATATTAAAATGTTATACAACATGGCAAATTTTAACCTTTGCTTTAATTTGTTATTTAACCCTAGATTGCCCAAGAAGTAATTTCGACTGCTTTTTAATTTCAATTAGAAAAACAATGATGTATAATAATGACACAATTTTTCAGAATTTTGTGACTTTTTGTAAAACATATAATTTTTTTTATTGTTAATATTTACTAATAACTTGTTATATAGCTGTAAAAATATTTAAAAAAATATAAAAAATTTATTTAAAATTTTTTTTTTACAACTTAGTTATTCTTTCACAATCCAGTCTTTTTGACTGCTTTTAGAGAATATAGGTATATACTAAGTTTCAGTCTTTCTAGTGTTAATATTAAAAATGTTATTCAAATCGGTAAATCTTAAAATTGATTTGATTTTACAAAATTTATTTCATAAGTGCTAATAATACGATTTTAAAAATGTTATACAACTTGGTAAATTTTAGCCTTTGTTTTAATTTGTTATTTAATATTAAAAATGTTACTCAAATCGGTATATCTTAAGTTCGATTTATTTTTATTAAGAATTCGCTGCTATTACTTTTATGAAAGCAGTCAATCAAAGAGCCTGAACTCTAAAAGTGTATCATTTATAAAAATTTCAAATTTATTTCAGGCATCGTTCTACAAAAATCCTAAAACCTTTAATGTTCATCATGAAGCCTAAAATTATAATTGTTTAAAAACTCAAATGTACTATGAAGACATTGTAATTTGTAGTTAGTACTTTGGAATGTTATGTAATAGGTTATTTTCAAATTGCATTTTCTTCACAGTTATTTTGTAATTGTTAATTATGAAATTTTTTGTTCGGAAAAATCCAATAAAATATAACTTTCATTATAGTTCCTTTAAGAATGTTACTATTGTATCTTTCAAAAAAGTACATAATGTAACAGCTAAATATAACCTGCTTAGTTTGATATAACAGTTACCATCGAATAATTCCGAAAATATAATAGTCTTTTTATGTTACTAATTTATGCAAATAACCGTAATTCATCCAATTTTCTTTGTTAAGCAAAAGTAACCATACAACAATTCTGAAAATTCGCCTATTTTATTATGTTAGCCCTAGTAACTGTTCTTTTAAATAACAATTATACTTCCCATAAAACGTTTTTTAATTATGCAAAAGTTATCTTGGAACAATTCCGAATATATATCTATTCTGAAAATATATCGATTTTATTGTGTTAGCCCTAATAACTGTTGTTTTAAATAACAATTATACTTCCAATGACGTTTTATTTACTAATTCAAAAAATATCTTATGATAATTCCGGAAATCTATCAATCTTATTACGCTAGCAGAAATAACCTTTGTTTCAAAGAACGACCATAATTTCATTTTTTATGATACAAAAGTTATCTTCGAACAATTCCGAAAATATATTCATAAAATTATTCTATCCAAAACAACTATTGTGTTATTTAGCAACTATACTTTCAATGAGGTATCTTTAGAATGCAGAAGATTTTTGAAATCAAACAGAAGACAAAAAAGATATAATTGTTAAATTGAATAGTTAAAACATTTTTTTTGTAAAGCAACATTTATCAGCAATATTTTATTCTTTAAATAGATAAAACTGTTAAGTTGAATAACTAGAATATTTCTCCTAATGTTTGCTTTACAGATGCAACAGTTTGCTTTACAGATAGATAAAACTGTTAAATCGAATAACTAAAACAGCCCTTCTAAAAAATACTACATTTTTTTGCAATAGTTTTTTCTATTGATGGATAAAACTGTTAAGTTGAAGAATTAAAATATTTCTTCTATGAAGTATCTTAAATCAGCAGTTTATCATTCTACAGATTCAGCATCGAAATTATTAAAAAATGTGACCTATAAATAAATAAAAAATTGATATAAGCAGGGAGGTGCAGTTGATCTAAACGAATACTTTTGAATCTGACTTATGAAATGGATTAGGGATGGGCACACACCATCATAGACCTATTTTCTGATTATGAACCTGCCTATCAAAGGAAATTGAGAGAATCGATTATCATTCTTGTGCGCTGAAAAGAAATGATTGCATTTTTCATTTTTGCCAGCGCATTGGATAACTAGACAATATAAACAAAATAAACCAACTGCGGAACGAAAAAAAAGGGTTCCTATATTTCTTGCTATTTTATGATCCTTAATTTTCCCTTTTAAAAGTGAATTTTAGGATTAGAAAACAAAATAAACCAATTGCAAAACTAAAAGACGGGTTCCTATATTTTTGTTGTTATTTTATGACCCATAGTTATAATTCTTAATTTTTCTTTTTGAAAGGGAATTTTAAGATAAGAAAACTAAATGAACCCTCTTCAAAACTAAAAGACTTGTGTCCTATGCTCTTTGTTATTCCATATTCCTTAATTTAATTTTTTTCCAGTACATTGGATGGTTAGAAAACTAAATAGACCATCGGCAAAACTCAAGGATTGTTTCCTGTATTTTTCTATTTATGTTCCTTAATTTATTATTTTTTCATACAATTTTAGATTTATTTTGTTTCGGAATACTGTAAATTTTTTTAAAAGTTTTAAATATTGTCGAAAATCATTATTTCTTCAAAATATTTTGCATTGCGTATTAGCGAGGTTCAAAATAAAATTATATTATTATTTTTCTTATGTATTCTTTAAGCAGTAAAAAAAGTTAATAATGCCTTTTCCGAAAATGAATGCGCTGTTTTTTTTAAACATAATCATATGCTAGAAATTTACAATATTTATGTTTATGCCACTTTTTAATGTATTTTATTTATACACTCTTTTAATATTAAAACATATTCACTTACCATATATTGATTCTTATGTTATAAGCTCTTATGTTAGGATATAATTGTCATTTAATTGATTTTTTTTATTACTAACTTAAAAAGTATATTTTTACCTGGAAATGTGTCAATTTTATTAAATAGCAATTAAATATTGTATATTAGTAATAAAGTAACAGTTAATTTGGTGTGATCTATCTAAGTTCATTAAACAGCAATTGAGTTGCATATTTTCAATAGATTAAAGGTTTTACTCGATTAAAAACTTCTTTCGCTTCAGAAATATATAAATAGAAAATGCCATATTTCAAGCCCCCCAAAACAAACTCTAATTTTCAAGACTTGCCAGACGGGAATGCAAAGAAATAAATGTGATTTGAAATGTGAAATGGGTGAATGTTTTTGAGCTCTTGAAACCATGTTTACTTTTATTTCCTATTTATATATTTTTGAAGTTCATTTCTATGTGGAAGTGTATCAAGTTCATCAAGGAATAATTCAATTGAACATTGTTAATAGGATAGCAGTTTTATTTTACCTGGAAGTGTATCAAGTGTGTCAAGTAGTAATTATTATAAAAAAGTAGTGCATTTCGATGTATAAGTGTATCAAGTAGTAATTTAAATTGTGTGTTCTTGTGATAGATCTACCTTGAAGTTGTCCGAGACATCGAAGCTGGTCAGGAGCTCCATTTAGCCTCTTACAACTTGTTGCTGGCCCACGAATCATCATCTCACAGAAATGGAAGTGTTGTTTCCCATGATGCAACAGGTCTGTGTCAATCAGCTTTTCCATTCGATATCAAAATTTTTATCTTGAAATTTTTTATTATAATATTGATATTGAATATTGATATTGAATATTGCTATTGAATATTGCTATTGAATATTGCTATTGAATATTGATATTGAATATTGATATTGAATATTGATATTGAATATTGATATTGAATGTTGATATTGAATGTTGATATTGAATATTGATATTGAATATTGATATTGAATATTGATATTGAATATTGATATCGAATATTGATATCGAATATTGATATCGAATTGTTAATATTGAAATAATCTCGCATTAGGTATAATCACGCATTAGACATTATCTTGCCTTTGACATGATCTCGCTTAGGATATAACTTTCAACGCCTTAGGACTGGGACAATGACAGTTGATCTCGCATTAGACATAACTTCGCTTTTAATAAAATCTAGCTTTAGACATAATATCTAACTAAATATATTTTCTCCTTGAACATATAATACATAAGATAGAATTAAACTTTGGAAATTAACATGTGAGGGATATAATCTTGCCTTGGATAAAACTACGTGAAGAGCTTGAGTTTGATCATATATTCACTGTAGCATAATCATGCGTTGACATGTATGGAATGTAATCAACCTTTCGGCATTTCGTTTTCGATGCAATTCCAAGCTGAATATATTCACATTTAGGAAATCACTAAGCACTGGACATAATTGCGCATTGGACAAAATATCACTTTAGAGATTATCACATTATGGAATAACCATGCGATGGACACAATTTGTGATGGGCATAATCTTACGTTGAATAAAATACGCTCTGAACCCCTGATATCGCGTTATTAAGTGGTATCTCAATAAGCAGTTTAAGTAGTTAGCTACTGAGTTATACTACTATGAGCTATAATACCAATAATATCTAATGTAATACTAATAGTGCTTAATATAGTACTAATATAATATTGATGTAATAATAATAGTAATTGTGCTAATAAAACTTAATATAGCACAATGATAGTTAATGTAGTACAATAGTACATAACTATTAATACATTACAGTAGCTTAACTTAGTAGCTAACTAAGCAGCTTAACTTCTTTTAAATCGTGGGAAAAAAAATCATAGGAACGAAATTTCGCATCTTGGAAAAAGATTATAGCGATATTTTGTAGATCAGTCGGTAACTGACAAATTCATGAAGTTCTTTTGAGAGATAATTCACTAATGAATAAATAAATAATAATAATTTTAGCTATTATAAATTTGGCAAATCAAAATACAGATCACGCGAGTTAACTCTAAGATAATAATAACCCTCTGTGGTTATAAAATTGCTTGGATCTATTTACGTATTCTATATGTTTTGCGTGATGGCTACCCACCCACGCATGATAATTTATGTTGCAACTTCGCATATTGGTGCACAGTTTTAAATGATAGTAAAAGATTAAGTGTCATTTTGTACGATCAATTCAGAGACATGCGTTACTTATTAATTTATTTTTTCTTAAAGATTACAACTTGAACAGCCAATTTTACATTTTTTAGGTATATAGTCTTCGTAATTGAGCAGATAAAAAATAAGACAGCTTTATAAATATGTCTATAGCATAAAATAGCAAAATAGGAAATTAAAATAAATACAAACAATAATTTTGACAAATAAAAATGAAAAAGATTATATTTCAATAAAAAAAATTAAATTTATCAATTTTGTAGCAACCTAAATTGGTTATAAATTTTGCAACTACACAAATAATTTAATAATTGATGTTTATGTTCTTTTGTTAAAAACTTGTATTCATATTATAAAGCAACACTTTTTACAAAAATAAAGAAATAAAAAAAATCAAATGTGAAAATAAAGATTTCTTATAATTAAAATAATTATCTTTAAAGTTTTGAAAAAAGGTTAACTTTCTGACAATACAAATAAGATAATTACCTGTAATTTGCGAAAGTAACTGATAATTGAGAGTGATTACCGCCTAGAAATATTCACATGATGAAAAATATATTTTTAAAAAAAAATTATTAACGGGAAAGTTTAGGCGTAAAAACAAATAAGTATTTTGTCAAATGAAACTGGAAATTTTTTTTTAATGCTAGACGAATTTTTTTCATATTTTTTAGAAAAATAAAAGGAACTTTTTTAAAAACACAAATAATAAACAATATTACAATGCTTCTTATTTATTTCCCAGCAATCCTTACAATATACCCATACAACTATACCTTCACTAAAACGTGAAATAAGTCAAATCTGTACAAAGAAACGCTTTAAAGTAAAACTATTGAGTAAATTCCTGCATTTAGGCATCCCTGAATTTCCTATAGATTTTCAGAGCGATTTCAAAGCTTTACTTTAAATGCATTCAATACATTACTTAACCTAATTTTTTTTCTGTTTTTAATTCTATATTCAGTTCTATGTTCGAAATAAAACCGTGAAGTCTTTTAGTAAGTACACATTGATGCTTAAACTTCACGCCTTTTTGTAGAGAAAACGTTTAGGATTTTGTTCCATCGAATAGAAAAGAACAATTTCTAAAGAGAAGTTCTCCATTAAAGCAATTGAGAATCGTTTGGATGTGTTTTCAATTCGAAACTTTTTTTTCCTTTTAAAGATTTCCTGAAAATTGGTCTTTCGCCTTCTTTTTTTTTAATTAGTACTTTCTTAATTATTATGCTCTTTGTTATGATGTGCTCTAATACTTAAAATAAATAGCTTTAGTACTAAACTTTTTTTTTTACGTTGATGTTTTTAGAGCAGTTTTAAAGAGTAAGGTATTTAATTTTAAAGCAGTAACTTGAACTTTGGAAATTATTTAGGAAAAGAAAAAAAACTTTAGTTTTTTTTTGTACTTAATTTTTTTTATTCAGTCAAAAGAAAGTTTTTACATTACTTTTAATAGACCTTAAACCTCTTCATCAAAAAGTAAATCCGTGTAGTTTAGGCTTCCGTGCAATTGCATGAAAAAAGCATGTTTCTTCAAGTTTTTTTTTCTTTTCAACAACAAGATATAACAACTTACAGGATCACGAGCTGTTTCAATAGAAAAATTCAACACTTTCATTAAAAAAAATTGAAAATTGAAACCGGTAACAATTAAAAACAAAATAAAAATTGTTCATACTAAAGTGAAATTATACGCAATAATATTACTTATGGAATAAATTATAATTTACTTTAGAAACAGAATTTTATAAAGAATATTATAATTTACAGAATCATTATCTGCTTTAATGGACTAATTTAAGTTGTTTATATTTTTTGAAAGCAAAAGTTTGTAGTACTTAAAAAGTTAAAAATTATTTCCATTTATTTAGAATTATTAAAATTAAACTTCAACTAACCCTTTTCGCTTAAAAATCTTTTTAAAAAAGTAGTAGCAGATAAAGTAGTTAATTGGATTCTGTTCAAATTACTCTAATTCTTTTGTTCACTTAAAATTAACTACTGTAGCACAATTTAAAAAAACCTTGACAAATTGCCTCATTTTAAAAATAATAAAAAATAATTACAAGAAGATTTGAAATAAATAACTTTATTTTATATAATGAACTTTATTATCGGAAGAGTTTCCAATTTTTAAAAAGTTTTTAAGGATACAAATATTACAACTCATATCGACTTTATATCATTAGAACTCATTTTTCTATTTCTTGACATTATCGAAGACGACACATACATGACAATCGTAAAGCCACAATTTTCATAAAATTCGAAAAAAAAATGTCTTTATAAGCATTTAAGTTTTTCCTGTAATTTCTTAACTTAGGAAATTTGTTTTTTTAATAGACTAATTAAGGAGTGGTTATGTATTCTTATTAAAAGCAACAAAACCAAAATTTTAAACCTTAAAAAAGGATTCTTTTCTCTTTTTTTTTAAATTATAAAAGAATATATTTCAGGAATTTATTTCATCTACTAATCGAGGAAAAGAAATATTACAATACAGATAAATTATTTTAACTAAATTCTGTTCAAACTTCTTTAATTCTTTTGTTCACTAAAAATTAACTATATCACAACTTATAAACCTGCTCAATCTCATACTGCTCAATCTCAAAAATAAATAACGAGTGATAAACATTAATTCTAAAAGATCCGACTAAATAACTTGATCTAAATAATGAACATTAACTATTATCAAGACGTTTTCTAATTTTCTCCACCAAGGATACAAAAGAGTACAACTCAACTCTACTCCATATCGTTTGAACTCATTTTTTTCTAATTTCAGAGATTACTGCAGACGATATCAAAGATGATATGGAATTATCGAAGTGTTAACACACACGTGACCACGGTAAAACCCACAATTTTCCCGGCAACTTGACCTGGTCACTTTCGCTTTTTGGCCGTCTGACCGAATTGAGATACCAACGCCTATTTAATATCAACGTTTTATGTAGATATTCTTCCAAAAACAAAACCACCTTAAGGTATAAGTCTGAGATTTAAACTAATAATTCTCATCTACGGAACTGATAGGAAAAAAAAAATATTATTTAATCTTATTCTAATCTAGGTCAATATTCAGCTTTTGAATGTTCCGTTTGGTGTCTTATAATTTTCTCATCTTTTTCAGGAATATTTATGATTTTATTTATTTATTTGTATTATTGTTTCAAAATTAAAAAAAAGGCACCACTTCCTATAAAATAAGAAATAGAAAAATGGTTTATTTAAATGGAAATATGATTCAATATTAAATTAAAATGATTAATAATCATTCATGATAATTAATGATAATAGATAACGAGTTATAATGGTAACAGATGATAAATAATGATAATGATACGAGAGATAACTCATAAGTTCGAAAATTAAATTTAAATATGTTCATGTTTAAGTATTATTTTACAAAAAATGTAGTAGAATATATGATCTGAAAAAAAAAAGGTTGTCATTAGTAATAAATTATATAATAAATTTAGCAAAATAAGCATACCATATTTCCAGCAAAGTGCAAAACTCTAGGTTCTGTTTTTAGAAA